CCCAGGTCAGCTGCTGCTGAAACTGATCAGCGACTGACTCCAGGAAGCCCGGGGCAGAGTTGCTCTGCCCCCGGCTTCCAGGAATCAGCCGCTGGTCAGTTTCAGCAGCAGCTGAATCGGGAAAGACCGGCGCAGAGCAGCTCCAATTGTCTGGCAGCCAGAGCACTTCCGGGTTCCTGATGGTGCCGGACCATCAGGAGTGCCGAAGCATTGGATGCCGGACCAATGGAGTTTTACTGTATTTGGATAAGTTATTAACAGTTAAATAAAGGAAAAGTCCATAAACTCAAACCATAAATGAACAATTTAACAAACTGGTATGTTTTAGCATTTAAGAGCACTCAATTGAGTTTATTTGCAGGAGGGAAGTTAATTGTTAACAGGTGAGGATTACTGGTTACGGTTAACTGGCGGGGCTGGGCCAGCCCCATGCAGCCCACTGCTGGCAAAGCAGCCGCCGTCCATAGCTGGGGTTGGCTGCTCCAGCCCAACTAGTTAAACTTAATGTTTAACCAGTTATACAGGATTTTACATCTCTGATTTGCAGTACATCTTACTTCCAGAAGATGGGTAAAAGAAATATGAGAAGCCCTATGACATGTGGTGATGAGGAACTGAGAGCCAGGTACATAAGGGATGAACCTTAGTATTGGTGCAAAGTGATTATTCATAAGTTATAATTGCAGCTTATTAAAAATCCGCCTTTATAAGTTAAGAAATATCTATCACTACTTATACATGTTTTTGGGTGGTTTATTTTATTCAATGAAGTATTCAAGTTAAAGAAACACTTAGGAAAGCTGAGCTCTCCCTTGACTGACAGGCTCAACAGGTGTGAAGAACAATTATACCTCTCCATGGTCATAGGTATGTACTCATCATATTCATCACCTAGAAGCCTGATTGCCCAATCTTAGGAATACATAACATGTATAACTTCTATGCTGTGTTAGTGTTTTTTATTGATCATGTTTGAAAGTTAACTTATTGTGATTTTTGCCTTAAGTAGGAGTATTTGGTAGGAATCTATGGGTAAAGCTACTGAAGATTGTACTATGAGAACAGTTTGGTTAAAAGGCAAATAGCCAACAAGAGTATTTTGTCAAAGAGGAGACTTCTCCCGTTCTTGCCAAAGAAAGAAGGTTTTCTAACTCATTTCACAGTCACAAAAGCTATATTTTCTTTAAAGGGAAAAATATTCTTCAGGATGTGGGTGCAGACATGTAACCCACTCAGATGTGTGCACACCCAGCATGCTGAAGCTAGAGAACTTTGCCTAGCAGTACCCATCATGGCAACACCCCCCCCCCCCCTTTTTGATTCCTTATAGCCTCTTCCAGGAGTATTTCTGGGCAGTGCTGCCATGACTCCCCACAACTCATTCACACTGAAAGCCAAACCTTGAGTCTCTGATGCAGAGGGGGTGGAGGGTTGGTTTTGGAATACACATCTAACAGTGGTTTTTTCATCAGTAAGTCAGGAAGGACTGTAAGAAATCTGGGAGATTGAACAGAAACTGTGAAGGCTGGAAAGCCAAAATGGACTGAGCCAAATTGGTGCAATGAGTGTCAGTTTGACATCATCCAATTTCCATTTGAGAATAACCCAAGATAAAGGAGATTAGGAGAGGAAGGCCTACATTAGCACCACTCCCTACTTCAAATGTAAAGTGTTGCCTAAGGAGCCTGGAGCAAAATCTGCTCAAGAGCAAAACTGACTGAACTTCTTGTCTTTTGTGGCAAACCGATTGATCACTGGAGTACCCATCCTCTGAAGATGGACCTCTGAATGGTGCTCTTCAAGGACCATGCATGGTTCTCCAGATATTCCATGCATCCAATAAGTGTGTAGCTGGGGGAATTTCTTGCTAGATGAAAAAGTGCCAAAACTATTGCTGCATGACAGGTGTTTGGAGCAGGTGCGTCCCTACTTTTTCACTTAATACACTGCAATGGTAAGGTTGGTAAGTATGTGATCCTCTGTGACCTTGATCAAAGTCTGAATGGCCCACCACACAGTGTAAAGTGCTTGAAACTCCAATACACTGATAGGAAGGGAAACTTACTGTTCTGTTCATAAACAGGGAACTTCCAATGTGCCTAGATTCACAGCTCCAGCTCCAACTTATTGTGGAGAGAGAACTATAGTTCTGGTTGGTGGCAATTGGAGATAAGAATCACCTTCATTATACGTTGTTCTGATCTGTCCTCCATTATAGGACTGCAAGATCATCTGTGACATTTGGACAACTCTGTCCAGTAACAGAACTTGGGAGAGAGCCCAACTTCACCAGGATTGAAGAGGACAAAGTTGCATGCTGGGTTAAAAGAGTACAGGCATTCCCCAATTTACGAACAGGTTACATTCTGAATAGCTGGTCGTAACTCGATTTGTTTGTAAGTCGGAAATACCCCATACAAAGCACTAGAATCGTAACCAAGCACGAACAACACAGCAATCAAAGAAAAATAGAAACACACGAAAAAAACAACAACACTACTGCAGCAACAGCAAACTTTATTTAATAAAGATGAACATGAAATACAACACACAATGCAGTAATTTAAATCCAATTAATTCAATTCACATTACTGTATGAGGAATCGGAGGAATAAAAAAACTACAGTAAGAACATCATCAACAGATTCTATTTCAGCAGTTCCTTTGCTTGTAGAAGGCATTGGTTCAGCATGGGAGGCATCACTGCTGGGGGTTTTCTTTAAAAATATATCCATTTTGGACTGGACAATTTATTTTTTCTTCTCGTTATAAATTTCCTTATAGCAAGCCAGGGCATCCTGAATTAAACGATCCACCTTTGAGAATCTTGCAACATTAGGGTCCATTTTTTCAAACATTTGCATTCCTTCATTTATTTTGCTGAAAGCTGCAGCCATTTCTTTCATCACAAAGTTTTTGGGGGCTTCTTCTTCTTGGGCTGTTTGTCTCTCTTCCTCTGCTACCCTCTCCGCCTCAAGCTGCATTAAATTTTCATTGCTCAGCTCCTCCCCAACATCCTCAAGCAGTTGGTGTATGTCTTCATTATCCATTTCCAGAGCCACTTCTTTCGCCAGCTGTACAATGTTATTAGAAATGTCTTCCAGTGCCTTTTCTTTTTCAACCCCTTTGAAACAGTTCACAAATCTTTTTAGGATTTTCTTTCATATGCCATTCATACATTGTGGAGTAACTTCTTCCCCACCCTGCAGCAATGTTCCTTATGCAATGCAGAATGTTGTAGTCCTTCCAAAATTCACATAATGTTTTGCCGTTTTTGTATTCTGTGGCAGCTAGATAAGTTCATGGAGGTTAGGTACATAAAAGGCCATTACCCGGGGATAGAAATGGTGTCCCTGGCCTCTGTTCATCAGAGGCTGGAGAAGGATGGCAGGAGACAAATTGCTTGATCATTGTCTTCGGTCCACCCACTCTGGGGCACCTGGTGCTGGCCACTGTTGGCAGACAGGCTACTGGGCTAGATGGACCTTTGGTCTGACCCAGTACGGCCATTTTTATGTTCTTATGTACTGCCTTTGCAAATGTGTTGCGAAGATAATATGCTTTGAAAGCAGCTATGGCCCCACGGTCCATGGGTTGGAGAATAGATGTGGTGTTGGGAGGCAGAAACACCACTTTCACGTCGGAATGTAAGTCATTGAGGTATTGAGTGACCTGGAGCATTATCCAAAATAAGCAAAATTTGGAAAGGAATTCCTTTCTCCAGAAAATATGACTTGACTTCAGGGATGAAGCAGTTCGTGAACCAATCATCAAAAAGTGCAAGAGTCATCCAGGCTTTCTTATTAGTGCGATAATGGACCGGTAAAGTAGCCTTGCTGATATTCTTGAAAGCTCTAGGGTTTTCAGAGCGATAAATCAAGAGGGGTTTCAATTTATACCCAGAAACATTGCCTCCTAACAAGACTGTTAAACAATCTTTGAAAGCCTTATAACCAGGCATAGTTTTTGCTTCTTTATGTATGTAGGTACGTTCGGGCATTTTCTTCCAAAAGAGACCTGTCTCATCAACATTAAAGACCTGTTCTGGAAAATAATTTCCTTCTTTTATCAGCTTATTCAATTCTTCTATGAAAGGTTCTGCTGCTTTCAAATCAGCACTGGCTGCCTCCCCACTTAATTTCACATTATGAAGATTTGCATGCATCTTGAAAGCGTTGAATCAACTGTGACTAGCATTGAAAGTTTA